AGTAGTAGTAGTAGTCGTAGTAGTAGTAGTAGTAGTAGTAGTAGTAGTAGTAGTAGTAGTAGTAGTAGTAGTAGTAGTAGTAGTAGTAGTAGTAGTAGTAGTAGTAGTAGTAGTAGTAGTAGTAGTAGTAGTAGTAGTAGTAGTAGTAGTAGTAGTAGTAGTAGTAGTAGTAGTAGTAGTAGTAGTAGTAGTAGTAGTGGATCCTGTGCTATGCTTTGCTATGCTATGCTATGCTGCGCAACGCTATGCTGCGCTATGCTATGCTATGCTATGCTATGCTGGGCTGGGCTAGGCTATGCTGCGCTATGCTATGCTGCGCCATGCTATGCTATGCTATGCTATGATTTTGCTTTGCCTTCGCTTTTGCCTTCACTTTTGCCTTTGCTTTTGCTTTTGCTTGGCGCCCAGTGAACGCAACTGGGGGGGGCCGCGCGTTTGCTTTTACCTTTGCTGTTGCTTGTGCTTGGCTCCCAAGGGGCTGGGGGAACCGCCCGGGGCGGTTTCCACTGCCCGGCCCTTTAAGCCAAGAGAGTAAGAACCCTTCTAGGCAGGGCCTGGGTAGGGAACAAACAGCAAAACTATGGCGGGGGCGCGGTGGGCGTTCCTAGCCTGGCCCCCTTGGCCTTGAGGCGCTCCAGCAGCGCCGACGTGCGCTGCTCGTGCTCTGGCGCCTGGGGCCCCGCCTCCGCTACCTGGGGGGCCGAGGGCGCCGACGCCTGATGGGCGCGGGTGACAGCGCGAACCTGCTGCCTGGCGGCGACGCTCACACTGGCCTGAGAGAAGGGAAGAACGTAATCGAGGACGGAGCGGGGGCGGGGGTTCGAGCCGAGGCCCTTGCAGAAAGCTTGGAGGATCTCGATCCCCTTCTTTGTGGGGGGGAGGCAGACTTTGCCCAGCTTGGCTCCGCGGCCCTGGGGCCACCCCCAAACATTTGACACGCAACAACTATTGGGCCATGCTCCGAGCGGGGGCTCCAGGGATCTGACAGCCGCCTCCAACAACCGACCCCTGGACTGCGAGAACCTGGCGGCCCTTGGAGCCCCCGAGGAGTTTGACCAAGAAAGGCGGGGCGCCGTTGCAGCCATCCATCGGCGGCGACTCCCCAGGGGCTGCCACAATCAGACAATGCTTGCGCTGGAGGCCCATGGCCGACGCGCCCCAATCGTGGAATCTCGAGCAACGCCAAACCTGGGGGCGCCTGCTTCGCGGAGGTCTGGTCCACATCCGTTCATTCTGAAAACATGGCAACGCAGCGGCAACCAATTTAACAAGATTGGTTGCCCGAGATTGAGCAATCTCGACGTCCTCCAAAAAACTTGGGGTCAGGGCTTATATGCATTTGAAGCGCCAGCTTGGCATGGGCATCTGCAGCCTTGTTGGCTTGCGCAAATCTGTGCTCATCACCAGTGAGAACCGCAATCGCCTCATCAGTGCAATGGGCCTCCGCGCGCCTGGTGAAGGTTGTATTAGAAGTCCCTTCCAGAGACTTCGCGAACCTCCGAGCTGCTGCATATGTGTTCGAGGACCTGATGTGATCCTCGATGGCTTTGTCCATGAGTGACCACAGCTCAACAATCGAGTCCGATATGCGTCTCCCAATCTGATACCTGCCCAGCCAACGTATGGGGTATAGGCCAGGTGCTCCGCGAACGCAGGGGCCTGGGGGAGGGGGCCAGCCACGGGCCCGCGGAGAACGGCCAAGACGTCATCGCTCTCAGGCCGCAGCAACGTTATGGCCCAAGCAGCCCTCCGAAGACGCCTCAGTGGCTGCTTAGTGCAGGATCCATCCGCGGCTAACTCCATGAGACCATGCTCCCCCGGAAGCTGCCCCACCTGCTCGGGGGACTGAGGGATCTCTTCGCCATTCCCCCCAAGAACAAGACAATCGGACGACGCGCGCGGGGGGGGGGCCTCGACAGGATCATGGGCGAAGATCCCTCGGCAGAAAATTAAATCATCACTATCTCGACCTGCGTCCAG